AGTTGGTGCAATCCATGGGTTGCGAATAGTGCATACGTCTTATGATATGTATAATAACTGCAAAACAAACGAAATAAACAGTTGTTGCCTATGCGTCTGCAAGTCAGTCGTCGTATAAATCTTTCAACTACCTACATGACGAAATATTGCCGCAAATCTGAATGGAATTCATGGCAAGTTCTAAGGCCTTTCGAAACGTGGAAATTTTACTGCTGAAGTTGTCATTGTTGTTTCGATGTTACATAGGAATGTCGTTCGTGTAATGACAAATTATTGACACAGTACTTCATTTTTCAGTAGCTGGTTCGAGCATATGATATATGATGCTAGGTAACGGTAATCGTTGTGCTGCTTCATATGCTTTATGCCATATTTCATATGGCGATCATTTTTTTTCTGTATCCGCTGTGCTTATAGTAAATTTTGTGTAAGACGTTTGTTACCTGCAGAGGTTGTGCAAAATGTCCGCTGGACCGAGATTCGTCTTGGGATCCATATGGCAATTTGTAAAATGATCAGGACTTTCGTTTTCGACATATTTGCCGATTTCACCTCATGATGATTAAGCAGTTAGTTAGAAATATGAAAGATTATGAATTGTTTTTTTTTCAAATAATTGTTGCTTACAACTGATAAGCCCTGCACTATTCACTTCGTACGTGATTTTTTCTCCTTAATGAATCTGGAGAAGATAGTTTTTTCTGTGTTCGGAGAGCGAGCTAATAAGTCAGTGATAATCCGCTAATAAGTTATTGACTCTGCGCTTGCCCAATGGATTTAATTTGTCATAATCCGCCTGTAGCTGAATAAAACAGCACTGCGGGTAAACTGTTAAAAATTTATTGATCGAGTCAGCGATCAATAAACCTATTCAATGCGGGTGCACTGAACCGAGGGTGTACGGAGTGCATAATCTTGGGTTTGATAATCTCTGTAGCAACGTGATGTATTTTTGGTTGATTCGTCAGGTCTTTAATTTGCCATCAATTTCTTGACTTGTGTCGCCGCCCTCCCCAGCCGAAAAAATTTCTTGTAAACAGAATTGCCATATGATATGTTTTCTATATGACCCAAATTCAATCAGTTTCAAAGATTTTGCTTGAGATTTTGACGCAAATAGACGGTTATTGATCGTCATACTCTACAGAGGGTTTAAATCATATAAATGTTATTAAAATCTGTTCCGACGTTTCGCACCCAGCCTAAGGGCACATTCCGTAGCGACAAGTGCAAAAGACTATGCTAGCAAATTCACTCTCATATTTTTTATATGCGAATAATGATAGTGACACACTAACAACAATGGTTTAGCTCTCAAAATAAGCTCTGAGCTTCCTAAGCCAACAATTAATATCTTTTTTGAAATTAATAAAATAAATCTGCCAGATTTTCCACTGAACAGCAATTTTAAGCTACCCTAGTTTACCGACAGCACAGCTTCCGAACAGAAAATTTGCGAGGTTATTAATATTAATTATTATTAGCGACTGTTATAAGTCCCATGTAAACCATGTGGTTCTTAAGTGAAAAATGAAGGATGAGACTGTTTATTACTATTTATTTAATGATTTCAATCATTGGAACGGAAATGCTGAATTTAATCAAGTGTCTCACCATGTTATTTGCTTCTCTCAAACGCCGTGCTAACGCTATTATCGCCTAATGTTATCTTTTTGGCATGTTTAACATATGTGCGAACTTTCGCAGCGTTCGTAATTCGTTTTTTTATTATTCGTGATCGTCATTTCTTTGAAAACCAGTATTTGTAGTTTTTTGAAGTGCACTATGCCTTAACTGTTCAGATTTTGCACAGTCATATTTTAAGAATATAGCTTAAGGTATTCAGGGGACAGTCAGAGGTCATTTCAGCCAAATAAAATGGAGATCCAGTCGAAAACCAAGTTTATTTTAAAGAATGTATGATATTTGAAATTGTCGTTGGTGCGATTTAAATGCAATGCAAGTGCCAAAATGCAACTGAGCCGTAGCTTACTTAAGAGTTTCTTTAGGAGGAAAGGTACGTGCGAATCGTGAGAAGTGAGCACTTGGTCATTTGCTTTTACTTTGACGTGGATTTACTCGACATGGTATAAAACTTTTTTCAATACTTTAAGCCCTGTAAAAAATACGTACAATATTTTGTTGTGGAACTCAAGTTAAGCTCTCTCCATAAAACAACTGGTTTCATCCAGAGCCTTTTAAAATTACTTGATTCATTGTGTAACTGCAGCGTTGAGAGTTTGGCCAGGGGCTGGATGAACACAGTAGTTGGTTGGTTTGGGAACTTCTTTTCAGGCGATACAACTCATCTGTTGCACCAGCGTTTCCAGCAGTGCCTTGAGAAGGGACTAAACATAACATTGTTGGTGCTATTTTGAGGCTTACCGAAGGTCAGTCGTTCCGCTCATTTTCCGATTAATCGATCTGGTTAATCGGCCCCAAGAAGGATAGGCAGTTATATCGGACCAGCCTCTGATCATCCTGACTGAGATGCACTTTTTCTATGCATGCCTTGTTGTTCTGTATTTGTTCATTTGTTACGTCTAGGTTTTGGCAACTGATCATATCCCTTAAGGTTCACGATAGAATATTTGACTAACTGCTCAAATTGTGAGGTCACGTTTTGGTTCATTGCATAGATTAATGAACATTTAGAGTCTAACTATTACTTAGTTTCACGACAAAGAAATCAAGACAGACTAAAGAAAGAATAGGATTGAAAGAAATTTCTTCTTTTAGGTCACGTTTCTTCATCGTCCGATTAATTACAGTAAAACCCCGTTATAATAAACTTTCGAGAAACAGATATGTATCCGCGGTATTTCGGGAAATTTTTCTGAAGGAGCTAAATAAACCCAAAACTCGTTAATGCATGGAAGCAGAAAATGTAATAGCAAAATACTCTAATGCTAATATCGTATTTTGATTTACATGCATAGAGAGTTCTTAAAACGATCAGATGTTTTACGTTTCTCACTCCCAGACTCCTCTTCTTTCTGACAACTGATGAATTACCGTGAGGGAGTGTGTGGAAAGGCATGTGTTCCCTCCTTCCGTAACCAACCATGATCATGGTATTAGACTGCGGAGAGCGATCACTTGAGGCAGTGCTGCTGCAAGGCACACCGCGGTAAAATTTGTAACAGAGTTGTTCATTAAACAAAATAAGTGCAGCCATTTCTGGCAACATGACTAGACAAAAACGACATATCTGAACCAACGGTTTAATGATTCACGTCAAAATGAAGTTCCACCGCAATTCTTCAAGTAAAATGGCATACGGAAATACCGACCCAAAAACATAACGTGTGACTAGCAAAGTACTGTACTTG